CGCCGCCGCCGCCGTTCCTCTCTTCTCCCGGGGCCACGTCCCTCCCTATTAATTTGTATTTTATTTTGGGAAAATGGTTTTTTTTATTCCGATGATACAGGAAAAGAGAGCATAATAAAGAGATGGCGTTAGTTTTATACCCGCGGTGTGTCTTCCTTGTGCAGAGGCGAAGAGGCGATGGCGGGGCCTGTTGCCGGTGATGACGGAGAGCGTCATTAAGTAGCCGCTGGTTTACAGCGACCCTGCCAGGTTTTCAAGGCGAGAGAGGTTCAGAGGTGGTTGGCAGGTGGTAGCGACCCCGGACTTCCTGGGTGGGTCTCCCACTGCAGGGCTGATCAGGGCTGAGCCCACTCCGCTTCCAAGATCTGGTGAGAGCGCCTGGGGCCTCCAGGTCAAGGCAGGAGAGGAACAGAGGTGGTCTGCCCTTGCCTGCCTCTGCCTTGGTGGCCTCCCACCCAAGAGCCAGTCTGGTGTCGTGCTTAAGTGTGCGGGCTCTAATCTGGGAGAACCGGGTTTGGTTCCCCACTCCTCCACTTGCAGCTGCTGGATGACCTTGGGCAAGGCACAGTTCTCTCAGAGCTCTCTCAGCCCCACCGACCTCACAGGGTGTCTGTTGTGGGGAGGGGAAGAGAAAGGAGGTTGTAAGCCGCTCTGAGACTCTGAGTGAAGGCCGGGGTATAAATCCAATGTCGTCGTCTTCTGTTAACCCTACTTCTTCTGAGATCTGATGAGATTGGGCTAGCGTGGGCCATCCCAGTCAGGGAGAATAATAAAGTGTTGTCAAGTCGCCAACTTGTGCTGACTCGGTAGGGTTTTCAAGGCAAGAGACATTTAGAGGTGGTGTGCCCTTGCCCGCCTCTGCAGGTCACCCCTGGACCTCCGTTGTGGTCTCCCATCCAAATACTAACCAGGACCGACCCTGCTTAGCTTCCAAGATCTGATGAGATTGAGCTGGTCTGGGCCGTCCAGGTCTGGGCAGGGCCTGCTAATCAGATAGATTTCTGGTTTTCCCCTTGGAATGATTTGATTTGGTTCTGCGACTCGCCTGCGTTGGGTTAGAATTTGACCCAGCTTGAAGCTAGCGGTTCCAGCTTCTTGCATTAATGTGGAAATAAGAGCCTGTCAGAAGGTGAGCGGGGAGGGACCCTCGGATGTTTTGCTCCTGGGACCCTTTGTAGGATGGAGCTAGATTTTCTCCCTGTTGGGACCAGGCACCGTTCAGCTGCAGGTGTTGTGCCCTCCATGGCCACTAGGAGGCAGGCTACCAACATTGAATACTTGGTTTAGAGTCCAAGCACCCTCTCAAGGCCCAAATGAACTGCTCATGCCGGATTGGCTTGTTAGCAGTGTTCCCTGTAAGGTTTAGCCTCCGGCTCACACATTTTTGTCTTCGCTCAGGAAGGGATGGCTCCAGGGCGAACTAATTGATGCAGTCGCCAAATCGCTCGCTCGCAACTTCAATGCCAGTAGCTCACAAAGTAGAATTTTTGCTCACAAGACTCCACAGCTTAGAGGGAGCATTGCTTGTGAGTAGCAGAATAGTTCTTTAAGGAAGTGGTGGGTTCAGCATACCATTGTGCCTTGGACCGAGGGTCTTCAGAGATCCAATAACAGCAAGGTCCAGAATGCAGTGCTCTCCGAATCTGCTTGCTTTGGTTGGGTAGGGAAATGCCAATCTGATCATCATAGCTTTGAAGACAGATTTCAGACATGCACGGGCAGTGCTTGATACAGTCTTGGTGTGATGTCGAAATGCATTGCCGAGAGCCCGTGGGACTTGCTGTCTTTCTCGAATTGCAGAATGACATCTAGGCGATGTTGAAAAATACATGCAGACGTAATTCTGCACATTTCAAATGTCATCTTTGCAGAAATCGTACCTTGTAGATTTTTCTTTAGTGCTACGTATAGCCCTGGCTATCAGAAGATAGTGGTAGAAAGTCAGAGAAGGTTTCCACGGTGCCTGAGGGAAGACCTCTCCTAGGCTCTGCTGTGCAGAGAGGTGGTATATTGAGGTGTAAGTTCACCCAAGGACGACGAAAGCAGGGAAGTCCGGGTTGCAGCTCCCTTCTCGGCCAAGAGGTGGCACCAGAGTTCTGTGTGATATTTAGAATTCGCTGAAAGGAAAGGCGAACTTCCTCGCCAAACTGACCTGTTGCCACCACTAACAGTTCAAGTCAGGCATTCTGGACTAGCAGCACTAGGAAACATGCACATTAATCCGCCAGCAAGAGAGATCTGGCGACTCTGCATCTGGCGGGGCAAAAGACCCAAGCGACTTCAGCAACAGCCAATCCCGCAGTGGGGCGAGGAAGCCAGAGACTCTCTTGCAGAGTCTCAGATAAGCACTTCAGGGGAAGGCACCGAAGGACAGAACTGGTCACAAAGGGGAAAAGCCGCAGCCCGGGGGGGGGGGGGGGGCGCCCGGGCATAGGGGCTCTCCAGTGCATCACCCGGAGTGCAGTGTTTATGACCAGCGACCCGCCTTCTGTGCTCAGGGCAAAAACCCCTTTCAGCTTTGAGGAGTTTGTACTTTGAGGCCAAGCTTGCTGATAACTGGGAAGCTGATCGAAACATGGAGACAAAGGTGTGCTTTCACACACACTGGATAATGCACTTTCAGTCCACTTTGCAACTGGGTTCTACTGCGTGAAACGGCAAGGTCCGCTTGCAAACGGTCGCTGACGTGAATTGAAACGGCGTTCTTTAGTGTGTCTGAAAGCGCCCAAGATGTTTAGCAGCCTGCTAGAGGGGTCCCACTATCGTGGCTACAGTGGTCTAGAGTCAGAAACAATGAGGACTTGTGGGCAATGCTCCCTCTAAGCTGTGGAGTCTTGTGAGCAAGGATTCTACTTGGTGAGCTGCCGGCATTCAAGTTGTGAGCGAGCGATTTGGCTGCTGCATCAATTAGTTTGCTCTGGAGCCCCATCCTTCCTGAGCTAAGACGAAGACTGAGCCGGAGACTAAAAAACTAGAAGTTAGCTCACACTAACTCAGCTTAAGGGGAACACTGCTTGTGGGTAGGAGGGCATAAGGGAAATGATTGGTCAGCTATGCTGGGTATGAGCTATACAGCAAGGACAAGGAAGGGACACATTGGGGATCCGTATGTCAGAGTGTAGAATCCATAACACTAGCAAATTTAGGAGAGGAAGACTTGCCCACAGAATCTCCCTGCTGTCACCTGCCGGCTCAAGATTCTAAGGATGGCCTCAATGGAGAAAGAGAAGGAAGTGAAAGTTGTGTAATAATGGGGAGCTGCTTTCACATTGCCCGCTTAGCCTGCGAGAAAGAATTATTCAGTCCTGTAAACGTTTGCATCTTGGGAGTGGTTGACCATCGAGTTAGCTAGAGTGGGGGCAACCCTGGGCTCGGTCCTGAGTGTGAGATGAGGAGGAGAGTTTGGATTTATACCCCGTCCTTCACTCAGAGTCTCAGAGCGGCTTACAAATTCCTTTCCCTGTCTCCCCACAACAGACACCCTGTGAGGTAGGCGGGGCTGAGAGAGCTCTCTCGAGAACGGCCCTTGAGAGAACAGCTCTGAAAGAACTTGTGACTGACCCAAGGTCACACCAGCAGCTGCATGTGGAGGAGTGGAGAATCAAACCCGGTTCGCCCAGATTAGAGTCTGCACACTTAACCACTACACCAAACTGTACTGGTGCACAGACTGAAACAGCGATTGCAGTGCTATGAAGTCCGACACTTAAATCGAATGGAAGGTTACCCAAAAAAGTGACATGACCACACTTTATTTCAGAAAAGGAAACTTCTTTTTTAAAAAAAACAAAACACCACCAAAACCTAGATTTGTCAAAAGTAAACTGAAAGGGAGAGTGAGGAAATGGTATCACAAGCTTCCTGTTCCAGCTCTCATAGAAACTTGGAAATTCTGCAGCTTTCCCATGTCTCCACTGGAAGAAGCCGGTCTCTTCCTTATTCCTGGAGTTAACATACTTCCCTAGAGCTGCCACCACCTAATTGTTAACAGTATCTCCTACTGGAGATAGATCAAGATGGGTAGCTGTGTTAGTCTGTCCATAGCAGCAGAAAAGAGTAAGAGTCCAGGAGCACTATAAAGACTAACAAAATTTGTGGTAGGGTATGAGCTTTCGTGTGTCACCGCTCACGAAAGCTCATACCCTTCCACTAATTTTGTTAGTCTTTAAGGTGCTACTGGACTCTTACTTTTTCTAGTATCTCCTACTGAAAAACTCTAGCACTCTTGTGTTGGCACTTAAGGACTCTTCCTTGGTTTCATGTCTCTGTTAGCACTTATGCACGCATGAACGAAATGTACGCTAAAGGGATGAAGGAATTGACTGCTTCCTCCTGCCCTTTGTTCCTCCTTGATAAGCATGACTGAATGGGCTGCATGTGAGTACAGAAATTGGTCTGCCAGCATTCAAAATGTTAGAAAATTTAATAAGGAAATAACAAGCACGCACAGCGTTTAGAAATCACAACGGAATGAGCAAAGATCAAAAGAAAAGCTTTGTAACCGCAGTCTGCTGACTCTGATTCTTGAATTACCCATAGTGGTGGTTAGAATAAGGATAGGCTAAATGTTCTTGAAGTTTCATGTTTCAAAAATGACCCTTTGCCTTAATTTTATAGAGTGGGGTTTCCTTTCGTTCAGCAGTACGTGATTATGATTGTGATGAAGCTCCGGTGTGAGATAGCTCCCTGTAAAAAGACAAGATGGCTAAGAACTAAGTTTTCTCCTTTATCCAGAGGTTTTATAACCTTTCTGTTGCCCATCCCTTGTGGGTCATCTCTCCTTGCCTGTCCCAGGAAGATCTGTTATTTCCCATTTGGTCTCCTGAGCAAATTTAGGTGTGACTTTT